GACAGTGATTATTTGCACATGCGCACGTAGAACTACGGGATGGTAGAGTTGACCATATAAATCTTACAGCAAAAATGGTTAAAAACTAAATAAATATGTTGTTGGCACAAGACAAGAATAGACTATACACACATTTGGAGATTCAAATACACGCTTGAATAAACATTTTTTTACACAACATAAAAAGTTTTTTTAAGAATAAATTAGTTTTTTTATCGAAACAAATTAGATATTGCAATGTCAAATACAATATGGGGTAAAAAGAAAACTGTGCAGACAAATGAAAAAAAAATCAATTGGATTGACAAGCACAGGGTCTAATGGGCGGGGCGAGGACAAAAAATTAATTACCGAACAAAACAAACAAAGCTAACCTTTCAAGCCAGGCCTCATATATTCAAACTAAAGCAATTTGTGTTGATCAATAAGATTAAATTGAATTTAAAGAGAGCTGACTCAAAACAGAGGCACTGAATAAAACTTACCATTTTAACTGAGGAAAAGAAACACAGTCATTGTACAAAAATCTATTACTGAACCTTCCTAAAACTTTTATGGTGCATTTCTCGATACAGCTGCTTCATTAAATAAATGAAATCCACGAGACACGAGCTGACCTGACGAACATGATGATGCCCACGCGCGCGATGTCCTCCTCGATGACTCTCCAGGACTCTTTGATAAGCTGGATCTGATTCGGACTCAGACTCGATGGAGCATCCTCTTTCAGTCCTGCTCTCTCTTTCTCTTGTGTTCTCGGTCTTAATCCGGATCCGGATATCGCGCAGCCCATCGCGACAGGAACCCCAGCGTCAGTTATACTCTACTTTGATTATTCGGTATCCACTCTCTTTACTAGATCTCCATGACTGACAAGAACCAAGCTTCAGAGTGGGAGATTGGAAGAGAGAGAGGGAGGGGAACAGATACCTGGGATCTCCTAGATGGGAGGGGCTCAGCATCATTTCCATCGCTCCATCAAATACTAAAAACGCATGGCATTCTTTACTCTAAAGTGCCTTGTGTGAAGATTTAAATTAAGGTTTGACTATTTTTCTATGAAATGTTTCTTCATGACAGTTTTTGGTTCCTAGAACATTGTTCGGAGTTTAGGAGACTATTAAAGGAAGGTAGGTGTTTTGCTAGGATAAACAAAACTGTATCTAACCAACAGGTGGTGTCAGCCAATGAGAAGATTCCAAGTGATTACATCAAACATCCCTTGATCAAGGTGATGACAAAGACATGGCCCTACTTTTACATGATTTTCTGGGAACAAAATGGATATTCATGAAAATCATCACGAATAGTTGGTGAAACTTCTCATTGCTCAATCATTTATTTTTTTTTTTTTTTTTTTTTTTTTTTTTTTTTTTTTTTTTTTTTTTTTTTTTTTTTTTTTCCCTTGTCCTGTCCTGCTCAAAAGTCATCACATGGGGGAGTACATGCCTTGCTGAGTTGGACAGTTTTGCTTTCTCCAGAGGAGTAAAACACCTGGTGTGGTGTTTTCTCCTCTGGATTGGAAATTTGAATGTATTTATTAAATATTTATTAGTTGTGATTCCCGCGAGTACGTTTATAATAGTTGTGTCAGGACAAGACAGTGCCAAACCAAAAGGGGGAGTGGACAAAGGATTGGGGAAGGGTGAAGGTACACAAGTGAAAAATGAAAGAAAGGAAGAGGAAAAGACGAAGAGAGGAAAATAATAATAATAATAATAATAATAATAATAATAATAATAATAATAATAATAATAATAATTTAGAAGTGAAGAAAAAAAGAATTGCAAATGAATAAAAAATAAAATAAATAAATACCTACCTGAACATGACGCATAAGTCCTAGTTACAGTTCATTTTGTCCATGTCCGTTTGTTATTGTTCATGTAAAACAGTTATTGCAGTTTGTATATCCAGGCACACATACACACATGTTTAAATATACATACATACACAGCCAATATCTTAAGTGAGGTGATAATAATGTTATATGCTTTAAAAAGCAACTCAGCTACATGGGAGGGAAAATACATAACTTACCAAAGATCACAAACAGTGAGTTGGGCGAACCACACATATATAACAAACAAACAATTGCTGCACACGGTGCCCAGGGACAGCAGACCCAACCCACCAGTGGCCGACCAACTTCCCACGAATCACCCTCACTCTTCTATGTCCGAGTGCGCTGCGAGGTCCGACACCGAACCGGCTCTGCAATCAGACCGAAGTAACCCAGTGGATCGTTCCACCCCCCGTGGGCCGCCATGACCAGGGCCCCGGGCTCCCGAGCCAGAGCATCCCACCCCACCCCACCGAGAACCGCCAGCACCCCCAGAGAGAAACGCCCCGCGCCCGGATGCGAGAGAGCAGGGACGCGCCCGCCACAGCGGGGGGGGCAGCCCACCCGACAGCGGCCAGGCCGGCCCCCCCGACAGCACAGGGAGGCCCCAGCAGACCCCACCCGCGACCACCGCCACCCGCACAGCCCCCGGCGGCAATGCCCCCGGACCTGGGCCCGGCCGCGGGCCCACCAGGGAGGCGGGGGGGGGGGAGGAGACCAGGAGACCAGAAGAGGGCAGAGAGGGAGACCGCACCAGGCGCAGCGGAGCCACCCCCCCAGCCACAACCCGGCCCCGCACCCACCACGACCAGCAGCCTCAGACCCCTCCCTCCCTCCCCCAGTCATCCATCCATTCATCAATCATTCCATCCATACGCCCATTCATACTCGAAGGGCGGTCAGTCACCGTCCAGTGGACCCGCGCCCACCCGGGGATCTCACAAGCCCGCGCTGACGGAGGGCATATACCCACCCCGGACGGAAGACAGAGACGGCCGCCCACCCACTGCCCATCATCTGCCCCCAGTTGGAGTGTAGTGTATGTGTTTGTGTATATGTTGAAGAGATAAGTTGCATTAAAACTGGGGAGTGATGTCCTGGAGCGTCACCGTTGGTTGACAGCTGACGTCCAGGCACCACCCCCCATTCCCTGCGTGTCTAATATGTATGTAAAATAAGAGGGCCGTCATCTCCGCCCTAGAATTTTGGGGGGGCCACAAATCTGCAGCCCCACCCATCAGATGTGGACGGAGAGACTAGCCCTCCAATCCTAAATGTAGTGTGTCCTTGCAAGTGATATTTGGGGCACCGGGAGGGAGACCGGCTCCCGAAGCGGGTCAGTGCCAGATGTTATTGGTCCTCTGACCGCTTCAGGAGGCAGGCCCCTCTCCAGTGCCCTGGAGATGTTGAGTGTCTAACTGAATTAAAACTGGGGGTCCCCTGGCCTGGAGTATGCCGGGGGGGGCTGATCCGTGATAGGCCGACCCCCCCCCAATCCCCCACAGAGACTGAGACCCCCGGGATCCTGTGTGTGGGGGTGGAGGAAATGTACCAGGAGCCGATGCGGGCACCATGCCGACGAGCCGACCGCCCCCCACCCAGGGGTGGCACCGCCCCCCGCCCCGGGGGACACGGTAGAGTCACCAAGGGGAGGACGCGGGAAACCAGGCGGCAGCTGCCCCCCTTCGGATCCCATCCATACTCATTCGTTCACACTCATCCACCCACCCCCATGCCCACCTACACACGCATTCACCCCAACACACCCCCCTCTACATGCACACTCACACACACACACACACGCACACACACACACACACACACACACACACCCACACCCATACACGTCCAAGAGCTGCTGGTCGCGTGCGCACAGAGTCAGCAGTACCTGAGTAGGAGACCCCGCCACACCCAGCGCGGCCAACCCCCACAGCCCCCAACCGGTCCCCGAGCCACCACCCACCACCACACCTCCAACCCCCACCCGGCGGGCCCCGGCCGCAGCACAGGCGCGGACAGGCCCACCACCAGGTGGCTGCAAAGGCAGCGGCACCCGCGAGCACGGACCCCAGAGGCCCCCCCACACCGCCCAGGAGGCCAATCCGGCCACACCGAGCACACCACTCCCCCCGCCGCCCGGGCACAGCCGCCACCCCCCCACCCCCGGACCACAGAGCCCCCCGTCCCCGCAGGAGCAGCCGGCACCCGGCGAGGCAAGAGCAGTAGCACCCCCGGAGACGGGTCCACAAACTACATGTCATCCCAGAGGAGGGGGCAGTCCCACCTGAAGCACACCCATCCGAGAGCAGGAACCGGTGATCTGTTCAGATCCTCTAACTAAAATTCAGAGGAATAGGGGCATTAATAAGAAGTGACAAAAAAAAACTATTTATGTGAAGGCAGACAACATTTCCGGGGTGAGATAGTTTAATAACATGTTGTTATATTGAGTGATGCTTAGTTTCTTTTTCGTTTTCCAGTTCATAAGAATGGTTTTCTTTGCTACAAGCATAACAGTGAGAATTAATAGTGATGTGTTAGCCTCGAGTTCTAACTGTGTACTGTCTAGGTCACCCAATAAGCACAGTGCTGGAGTTGGTAAAATGAGGTGGTTAACCCATGATTGCTCAATCATTTAAATGTCTTGCTAAAGTGGAATATTTTTGGGAAAGAGCTTAAAGAGCCTCTCTTTGAGTATTTCCCCTGTCCACATTCTCCAGAGTATCAGGGATTAAAATTCCATCCGTAAAATATCTTTGCCTCTGTGGATCCACTAACTCTTTGAAGAGTTTCTTGGTGGTCATGAGGAGTTTTATAGGACATGTACATTTTAAATAAAAACCCTTCCAGGTTATGTGACAAAATTTAAGATCGTTGTGAACAATGGGATGAACTTTCTGCTGGAGGTAATTTTTCTAAAGCTTTCAGCCCACATCTGCCATTCTCCTGCCAACCCCACCTTCCACCCCTTTGCCTCACTCTAAGGAGAGGGGGTTTCAGATCCTGATCACATATCTGTTCCCAGACTCCCAACTTGGACAATTTGCCTAGTATGCCCCCTACTAGGATAATTTTGAATTCATCCCAAAGTTGTTCTTTCAGGTTAAGGTGCTGACCACTGGTGCTTGGTCATGTTGGGGCAAGAAGCCAAGTTCCTCAGTTGGTACTCAGTTGGTAGAGCGGAGGACTGTTGCAGATAAAGTGGAAATCGTTAGGCCGCTGGTTCGACTCTGGCTTGAAGGAAACATTTTAGGGGCAATTGTGGCAAAGTGGATAAGGAGATTGATTGATAATAAAATTGGTTCGATCCCCAGATACATTGGGAGTTGAAGGTGGGGTGAGTGATTTAAATGTGGTGCCCTTGAGCAAGGCACCAGTTTCCTGATCACTGCTGTGTGTGTGAACTTGGATGGGTCAAATGCAGAGCACAAAATCCAAGTATGGGTCACTCCAAATCTAGTCGTAATGTCACTTTCAAAATGTTGAAAAATTCTTAGTTCTTCGAAAAACGAACCACTTTCTACATATTAGCAGAATGCAATCAGAGAAGTACCACTCAACCGACAACCTCTACACCCAAACTCATCCATCAGCTGAATACAGCCAGATGGAGAAACAGGAATCGTCACTCTAGAGAAGAGCCATTCTCTACTGTTCTTGAGCTAATCCAAGAACCACAAAAAGCTTGAAGGTCTGTAAAGGGTGACCTCTGGGTTAAACCATGAAATCGGTGGCTTTTGTATCCTGTCATCCCTGTGACCATGATGTACATGTTGCTATAGCATTTTCAACGTAGATGCCCATAGCTACAGCAACAGGGTTGACCACAATAGGAATAATGGGCACTAAAGCCACCAATTTAGAGAAACCACCCACCACTGACCCCATTCTCAGTCATTTACATGAGCTCCATGTCTACAGATGGTTGGCCATGGGAAATTCAGTAGCGAGGATATTTCTGGATTTCACGAGCTCCTGAAATGCAATCTTCTGCAGAGCTACTTGACGTCATATAGCAATGGCTAGTGATTGGAACGTCTCAATTAAAGTTTTTGCATGGATGAGTAAATCCTACATGCTCTTTAGTCTTTTAAAACGTTTGTTTTACCAACATCTTCATTATCGTCTTATAGTCATATTTAAATTGCAATGTTCTGCCCCCTTCACACAGGGTCCAAGGACACAGAAGATCATCATTTGCTCATAAAACAATAAATAACTTGCCTTTGGCTACTTTTAAAACATGCGCTGTAATACGGCGATATTAACATAGCCATTTCCTTTTTGTGCTCCATGTACGGTCATTAATCATTTTCACATCATGTTCTCTTGCATGTCTTAAAACCAATTAAAACTCATTAACCTCCAGTAGGGTCAAGCTGAAACATTCATGCTCTTGACGATGAAACTGAATACTTGGTTTATTTCAAAAGTGACCATCTTAATTTTTTCAACTGTCCAAAGTGATTAATAATATTCAAATCTCATGAATGTGGGCGATAGAACACTCCAGTTAAACCACTCAATTCAGTTTCATCGTATATCCCGTGTAACAAAACAAGACAAGAGTGTCCTTAGGCCTTTTAATGAATTCTGAAAAAGATATGCACAAATCCATGCGGCTAACAAAAAATTTGTGCGTAATATTTACATCATTTCAAATAAATAAAAAATATTACATCTATAAGATAGTCGTGATAATAGAAACCGTACATCAAAATAAAATGAGCTTAAATCTCTGAACCTAAATGTGCAGGTGCTTGATGCCTCGTAAGCCGCCTAATGACATTTTAATATCCACAAATAAAACTAAACAAATCAGATTTAACATTTAAACTGAAATGTATGTGATACACATTGCAAAAACGACACATTTCATTCCTCGTTCAAAAGGAGCCATTTTGATGGCAAAAACCCTCAAAACGATCCATGACATGATCCGTTATCATTCATCTGGCGTAACTTGATTATAACCGGCCATTTTCTGCTCATTACTCGGGAGGGACATGTTTATAAGATTACTCTCTTCCCCCTGAGCACAGCCTGCTCAAATATTGTATACAGTTAATATTGCAATAGTTTTGATGAGATTTATTTATCTGGACTGCTATAATGGGTTTATTGCTTAAGAACAACGATGCGTTTAGAACGTTTCCTGCTTCTAAAGTCACCGTTGACAGAAATATGTACATTTATAATTTGAATATTCACATATTTACAAACACAAACGTTATAAACATACACTTCCCAAACATTCTTGTCTACATTAAAGATGGAGCTTGTGATTGATTTGAGAAAGACCTAAAGAGATATTTGGTGGATTTAAAAATGAATCATTGGTTTCTCAAACATTGTTTATGCTCAACTGAATATATTTCATCCCCTTCGTGTGAGTTCCGTCACATGACTCTTCTGAAACAAAAGAAAACAAACTATGATAATAGAGCTGGTGTCTGTTGTGGAATCTATTCAGGCTCTGGGTGTGAAGATCACTCTATTTGCGTAGATCGTCGAATCTGGCTAGCCCAGAAGCATTTCAGCAAACTCAAAGAGTTTAAAAGTTTCTTTGGACTCCCAAGTCTAAATGTGAGCTAAAGCCAATAAAAAGTGTAACTAGACCATTTTGAGAAATCTGAAATGAAGCCAAATCCCCATAACATTTCTAAGTGACTAGCTTCTTTCACAGGCAGCGTTCCTTTAAGGAGATCTATGAAAGATGACCCAGAGGACCTTCACTTTGGCGTAGACACCAAACCGTATCTGTTTAAACCGGATCACACTGAAGTTGATGACCTCTTCAACATAAAATACAAGAAAAGTGTGTCCAAACTGCTCCGATAAGGAACAAACTGCTGGAAGTCGACTATCTGCATGATATAATTGTGCACTTTGATTCTTATCATGGATTGAGATTAAAGTTTCTAGCTACATGTGCCTGAAATCACAACTTCTCATTTTCCATTGGTTCACAAAGCAAGTATAGAACAGTCAAGAATTTAAATAACAAAACTCTTTAAAAGATATTTGCCAAAAGTGCTATTCCAGACCAGGATAACGGCTGAGTAGATCCCAAAACAGTACAAATATTATAAGGGGGAACCTTTTCCAAATAAACTGGAGTTTTGCTTTAAGGCTTTTCAGTAAAATGCAATGACAATTTTAATGGAAAAACGGTTCATTTGAGATGAATCAAATAACAGTAAGAGAAATCAATGATTCAATCCTTCTCAGATGATTTGTGATGCATGAAAAGCTTCAAATTCCACTATTCAGATTATCCCAATCATTAATATTTGAATTTCTGAAGTTAATCGATGTTTGGCAAGGTTTAGTGACTGAAAACAATTGCATAAAGATAAAAATGGACTGATTTCTATTTGTTTTATATATCTGCTGGAGCAAGTACATCAGAAAAAAGTGAACAAAGTTTCACACACAGCTGCATAATGTTCTATTAAAATATGTAAAAAAAAAGAGGCATTTATTATAAATTATATATAATGTTATGGTTATTACATCTGAATGGTTCATGAATTAATTTACTTAATTATTATTTATTTGTTTGCTTGCTTTACACGTTTTTTAATTATTATTAATTTGTATAAATGGAGCCTGAAGAGCACCAAGCACATCTGATGTTTTTCCTAGCATGCAGAGTTTGCATTAACTTCAATGTTTGCTTAAGAGACAGACAAATATCTAAAATATTCTCTTAATATTGTTTAATGCATTTCTTAGCCTCTTTAAGAACTATGCTAATAATAAAGTTTATCATCTCAGCCAAGTCCAGAAAGCCGCAACGAATCAACTATTCATTTTAACATTTTTTTTCAGTCACTCAGTTAACAGTGAAATTAGAAAAACATTTTGAATGTAATTGAAAATTAATTTTGAATGTAATTGAATGTAATTGAAAAGTCTGAATGTAATTGAAAATATCTTTGAAAATGAAGCTTGACAGACCATCACTTTTAAGACTTCTCAAGCTGCTGATCACATTCTGGACAGTTCAATGCTAGCAGTGAGACCGGTGTACGGGAGAATAACCACAATGCTGTTACGTGTATAAACTAAGGTTCTGGAACTTCTCTCGAAGGTTTTTAACCAAACAACGAGGACCCCTTTCAGACTTCCCCAGCAGTGCCGTTGGGGGACCTCTACTGTTAATCCATCCACCCAAGAACTCCTCTTTACCGCCCGACTGCAGAACTACATCTACCCTCGGCCGACTTTCATTTTCACTTTTGTCTCTTGTTCGCTCCAATAACAAGTCCTTGCTTTTACAGCTCTCTGGTTCCTCGAATGCTTCAGACACCTGGAAATCGAAAGCCTCAGCTCTACATAATAAAGGCAAAGGATCTCCTTTGAGGGTTTTACCGGAACATTCCAAATCAGTGGATGTAGTTCTGTACAAAGGAGAAGAACAGGACAAAGAGCGCAACACTCCAGACATCTTTGATTCATTGTTAAGGACTTTTTCTGGAAAAGAGGTACTGCGGATGACTGGGAACAAGCAAGAGGAAGCAACGATGTCATCTTGCATGTGATTGCTATATTTGGTGCATAACTCCTTGACATCCGGCCACAAGAATGACTCAGTTTGAACGGGACTTTGTGGTCTTGGGGGATATAATCTGCAAAGGAATGGCAACGGAGAAGATCCTGAAGAACAGAGGTCGGAAGGTTGACTTGAAGACTTCAAATCGACCGGCTCATTCAAGGGAAGGAACAAAGCCGTGTCCTGTACACCTACAGTTTGCACAGAAGAGCAGATATTAAAAGTCTGCTTTTGACATCTTCTTCAAAAATCTTTGAAGCACTCGGGAGGTTGCGCTTAAACCATGTCCCAATTCAAGGTTCAGACAGGATGCTGTCTTTGAGATCTTGGAAGAATGAAACCTAATTGTAATTTGAGGCGATGCAGAATCACATTCCATCGTGATCAATTTATTGAATCCTTCATTTGCCAAAGATGTATTTGGAGGAGTCAAACTATCTGTAAATTGTGACAGACTTCATGATCTTTAAGGATGCACCCTTTGAAGGGTGGATTTTTGAACTGGGACAGGATTTAAAAAGGTGCATAGAGCAAGATTACCAATGACCATGATGGAGACAATGGAAAAACTTGGAAGATGTGGTTCCATTGATAAAAAAACCTGACCTTAAAACCTTCCACTGAACCATTTCATCATTTGATTACTTCAGTTTAGAACACCATCAACTGTACACCAAACCCAGCC